ACCTACTATGTTCTGTGTACTGAAAACTACCCAACAAGGTTAAAAGTGAACTAGGATCCCTAAAATCCTTCAAGTAAATGTCACCCTGCCCCTCCTATTATATCTGCCTTAAAGATAGCAAGTGTTTTTTCCAGACACCTCGGCACTATAATTCAAAATGATTGTAAAGTGACTTTTATTTTCTGAAAAAAAAATCCCCAAAAAGACTAGCTTTCTGTCTGTCACTGTATATCTTTTTCTCTGGTTATTCAGGAAAGTGTTAGAGCCCTTACATTTCTTTCTACCTCTTTTTTTAAAAATAAGGTTTCATTATAGTTCAAAGTCTGCTTTCCTCGTAGCTGGAGCAAATGAATATAAACTACACCTGAATTTTGTTTGCTTGCTTGCTTTTTGGTGGGATACTTGGGCTTTTCCATCTCATTCTTCTTATTTAAACCTGTATGAATATGTGGCCCAAGACACATCCATTGATCTTTTTATAGAAACACAGAGCTCAGACTTGACTGACATGTTCAAAAGTTCCACAAGTGGATGCGTTAAGCAATGAAAAGCAACTTGACAGCTTTTTCTAATGATACAAATTGTGATGTCAAAGTCGATTCCTTCCAGCCATCTATAAAAGATGAAAACATGTTTATTTTCAGGAATTGAAATAGAGTGAGTGTCATTGTAAGGCCCAATGAGTGCAAACACTCACAGGTGCCTTTAGCTAAACAGGAAGGGTGGATAACACATTCTAGCTATAACTCTGAACTATGCAGGTCTGTAAGAACAGGAATGATTTAACTGTTCCCAGACCTGGTGAATATTAATTTTTCAGTTGAACTTGACATGCATAACCAATTATAATTTTCTAATTAGAAGCAATGTAAGTCATTAGACTATATCTGTATTTGGCTAAAAAAAAATCAAAGGCTCAACTCAAACTATCTAATATCTCTCTAATTCTCTATTGTATATATGATATACATGATATGAAATAATATACATATATTATTTGTCTTCTATCACATATCTATCCTCTATCACCTATCTATCATCTATTTATTTATTCATCTATCATATCTATCTATCTATCTATCTATCTATCTATCTATCTATCTTATCATTTATTTACTTTTCTCTCTCAAATTTTTCCTTTATCCCATCCTTGCCTTGAACATATTGTATAGCTGAGAATGATGTTGAAATGATTAATCCTCATGCATGTATCTTCCCAGGGCTTAAATTACAGGTATGCATCTTATGGCCAGTATATCTGATGCTGGATATTGAACTCGGAGCTTTATGAATGCTCTGCAAGCACTTCTGTCAACTGAGTTGATACTACAACATCTGAATCTTCAATTTTGTACATTAATAAATTGTGTGGGTTTCTATCTCGCAGATCTTGTACATTTAAGGTATAATAAGTTGGATTACACTGATATAGGCCAATAGGACACATGAGGACATACCTTTACATATATGGAAAGAAAACAAAGACATGGAAATGGAACACAGGGGGCAGGTAGAGAAAAGTGTGTGTTTAAAACTTGTTTTCAGAATTTTCTTTAAGAGTTATTTTGTCAAACTTTACTAAATATGACCATATTTGGCATCATTTGGGGTCAGAATAGAAGGAAGAAGGTAAAAGTGTGAAAATTCTACTGATTGAAACTAGGACAAGAGGGAGGTGCACGTTTAGGACTGTATGGAATGTTCTCGACTAGGTTAGACATTAGAAAACATCTATTGACGCTCTGTCATTTAAGAATTCAGTTCAGCCAGGCAGTGGTGGCGCACGCCTTTAATCCCAGCACTTGGGAGGCAGAGGCAGGCGGATTTCTGAGTTCAAGGCCAGCCTGGTCTACAGAGTGAGTTCCAGGACAGCCAGGGCTACACAGAGAAACCCTGCCTCGAAAACAAAACAAAACAAAACAAAACAACAACAACAACAAAAGAATTTAGTTCAACATCCCTACCTTTCAATGAATTAAGAAAAATATCCCCTGGCTATGATGTGACAACATACAAATTCAGTCTCTGTATTGTAATCCAGTCTGGCAGAATAGACAGAGTACAGGGTTTGAAGATTTTATTCATTCATTCATTCATTCATTCATTCATTCAGCAGATGCCTAAAAAATGCAACGGTGTGCTAACTGTATCTGTGAACATAGAACATTTGGATCTTGCCTGTAGAAAGCATTTAGTCAAGGGAGAATGACAGACAAGTCAATATCACCCTAAGCCTCTCCCTTACTGGGTTTGTAGACCTTCTCTTACAATTATACATTAAACCAGGAAAGAACAGGTCTCGGAAGAGGCTTCAAAAGTGATACAAGCTAATTTCTGAAGGATAGGGATAAACCATTACCATGAAAATCATAGATGCCTTATAAAGACAGAGAGTATTGTTGGCTCATTGTCAAGGTCCTAGGGGGAAGAGTCATTTCTTTGGATTCTCACAGAGCAGCATTTGGATTGATAGGCACCCAGTCATTTGTATCAGCCTCCTCTGAGAACTTGGAAGAACAAAGATCCCAAATCCATCCAGTTTAGATCTATGAAATCACAATTCACATTTTACTGATGACTGTTGTTGAAAGTTGTCCGTACAAGCATATGGGGAACACTAGCATTCAGTCATGGAGAGGGGCCTGCTGAGACTTAAAGGGAGGTGAGCAGGAAATCATGGAGGCGGGGTGGATGGAAAAACCAGTCTCAGTAAGATTTTAGTATGAGCTTGCCTTCTTCCAAACTTAAACTGTTTCATGTCTTCAAATCTACCCCTTTTATGTCTTTCAGGGAAGTTATTTGGGCTCTCTTAACCCTTCCCTTAATACACTCTCAATGCTACAGAGAAGCTACTGCTATTCCCATTGAGCAGAGAAGGAAACTATCAAAATATTTCATGCATTTGATATAACTTTGTTACTGTAAAAAGTATAACAATGACTATAAGTGTGTTATTTTGTATTGTTCAATAAAACACAGTGATAGGGATCAATTGTACGCATGCCAACTTAGGGAAAGATTGTATTCTGTACAATCTAACAAGACTCAAAGTCCAGCTACTTAATGTAATAAGAGGTAAATATTTTCAGATTTGACTGAGTAACTTATAATGGGTAGCATCTTACCTGAGCATTTTAGCTGCTGGCTAGTCTTGTATCCTTGGGCTTGTAGCTTGTGTGGCCAGGCCTTCCTTACCCTGACACTGGCTGTTCCTGTTACTAACTTTTCCTCCCCTTCTCCCCCAGGACATCTTATTGCCTACATCAGGTACGCTGTTTTATCTCACTTTTGTTTTGTTCCTACCTCGTGTAGGAAAATTCCCTGGATTAACATCTATGCCCAAGTCCAACATGACAAGGAGCAGGAGATGATCGGGTCAGTGAGCCAAAGTGAAAACGCCCCCAAAATCACACTCAGTGACTTCACCGAGCCTGAGGAGCTGCTGGACAAAGAGCTGGACACTCGGGTCATAGGTATGTGTGCCTGTGACACCACTCTCAGAGTCCTCTGCTCTCCAGTTATCAGTCATTTGATGGCATTGTGTGTGCCACCAGACAGTACTGGACTACAAGACTGGGGAGAAAAATCTGGCTACAGCGACATACTCATCTTTTAAAATTCATTTGCCACCTCTAGCCACATGAAATTGACAGACTACATATTTTTCCATTACAATTTAATAAAGATTAGAAACATGGGTGTCCCAGTGGAGGATAAAGTCAATTATCCACTGCTTTGGGGAGGTTTTTTTTTTAAGCCCATAAATTCCAAGTCACATAAGTCCTTACTAATACTTACATGAATGCAGAGTGTGGTAGGGACTACCTTTACGTGGCCAATCTGTTAATCTTGTGAATGTTTAGTCCCACACATTCCTCAACTGTAAAATGGGAGAAATAGAATTCTAACTGTCATATGCTGTCTGGAATTCCGTTCTGAAATTGTTCCCCTCATTAGATGATGTTATGAATTAGTACAGTGCCTGATCCATAGTGTTTGCTACATGCTATTGTCATAAGGATCAGTACAGAATACAGTGACTGCCAGTCTGTTGCTTCTACCTAGATGCTATTTTGGGAGGTGGAGGAGAAGCTTGCACACTGGTAGGAATATTGAGATGCCCTCCTTCATTCAAACGTATTACAACCTGTTCCAGGCAGTTTGGCATTTGACCGAGAAAAAAAAAAAAGACTCACCATTATACTGGAACTTACCTTGGTTTCCTCTCTGTGTCTTCTCTTCTGCAGGAAGCATTGCCACCATCGCAAGTAGCGAGAGCACAAAGGAAATCCCCAACTGTACTAGTGTTTAACCAAGAAGCCACATGGGCAATCACCTTCCTGACTTTTTATTTTTGATGACGACTACTATTACTATTATTATGGAAACAATGAAAATGTCTTTTTTTACCTTTTGTTTACCAAGTGTCCCTTCACAAATAGTGGGCAGATGCTTAGCTTTGGGAGGCCAAAAATAAGGCATTATTAGTTGATCATAATGAGATGAAAGAATATATGGTTATATTTGTGTTAAGAATGCATCTTCCCATAGGTTTCTTGCTTTATTCTGCTGTCAGTAGAGCAAAGTTCTTCTTGTGTCGTTCTGTCTTTTTTGAATTGGGTTTTTGTTAACTTTGTCTCCCCTGCCCATCTCATACTCCTCACCACATACACATACAACACAGATCATTCCCCAGTTCAATTGCAGGACGTAGGTTGAGGGGGAGTGGACGTAGCTGCCAAAGGCACGCACACCTTTCGGAAAGAGGCCCTGCCTCGTGCATGTCAAAACTGAGGCTAAAGATGGTGTATTGTATATAACTACAATGTAAATAGCTTTTTATTTCCTAAGAAATAATTTAATGTTTAGTAAAAAAGAAAACAGAAAAAAAGAAAGATGTGTGTGTTGGCTTCCGCACTCACCTTCAGAACTGATCACCCCCCAGCCTGCTTGACCTGTTGGATTCTGGATGCTCTCCAGCTGTCTGCCACACTCAACTCTTGTGTCTCTGTCCACACCATAGCTGGTTTCTGCCTATGTATATAAACGGGGTGGGGGAAGGCTTCTATGGGGCAACTGACAAAGGAAAGCCTTCAGTGGCATTCAAGAACGTGGGGGTTTTTTTCTTCCTAAGATAACATGGAAGAAGTCACAAAGACTAGTAGAGGCTTCAAACTGAAACTCAGTTGGGGAAACAAGACTTTCTCTAAAAAAAAAAGAAAAAAAAAAGGTATTTGTCAGCCTGAGAAAGCAGTCCTCTCTAAAAAAGCAGCAAAGAATCTAAAGATCCTGGCATTCTGTTTTCTAATTGGATTTTGGATTTTTGGATATGTGCATTGCCCATGATGAGCTGCCCAGCTGTTCTGAGCTCAGAAGAGTCCCTGGGCATTATGTGAGGTCCAGTGAACATCTCCTGGTATGACAAGAATCAGAGAGTCTGGATGGGAGGTCCCATTTGTGGAATCCCCAAGTCTGTGCAAACCCTGCAGGCCAAACAGAGGTCTAGTCTTTAATGATATTAGTCGGAATAATTTTAGCAAAGCTGTGCTATTTGCTTGTCAGATGTACACAACTTCCTTAAAGTCAGATGTCGGCCTTCAATTCCCTTAAGGTAGTTCTCTTGCTTCTGGGGTGAATGGCTTTCAAAGCTTGTATTTGCTTTTCTAGCACCTCAGCCCCTCCACCTGTTTAACATGACAATTCTTTTCAGTAGGATCATTTTACACCATGCTGCAAGCATTGTTTTCATTTTCAGGCTCTGCCTGTGCACACTTGTTTCAAAGAATGATATACTGTATATATATATATGAGAAGAAAGGCCACATTTTGTACCTGTTAACCTTCATGGGATGCTGTTCATATTTCTCTTTGTGGGACACAGGGAGAATGTGATAGAGAAATCTAGCTGGCTAAAGCATAGATCAGTATTAGAAGAGTTTCTAAAGATTCCTCTTTTTCATTTCAAGGGTTAAATGGGGCAGACAATTGCAATATGTGTACTAAACACTGGAATACAGTGCATGAGTCATATCTATATATATATACAGTATATGTACATATACTGTTCTTGGTTTTATTGTTCCATTTGAATATTTCTACTGTAAAAAAAAGACAGTGGTTTTGAAATTGTTGAAAATAAATGTATTTTTGTACATCAAAGCTATATACTTGGCGGAGAATTCTCTTTTAGTGTTTTTATTTTTTACATACTGTATCCATAAGACTGGGCTGCAATAATATTACATAGACACTGCACCCCGCATCCCCCAAAAGGAAATGCTTTTGGAACACAGATGTTTGTGTCTTCTGTTTATGAGTCTTTGGATAGATAGTAGTTTTGGTGAGCTCCTGGGCTTGCTGGCTAGCTTGGAATTCCCTGCAAACTGGTTTCAGGTGTTTTGAGTCTGCTCTATAGGAAAATTGCAGAATTCCACATGGGACATGGTGAAACCTGGTGTGGATGTTTAGCCTTTGTGTCTATCTACCTTTGCTTACATTGCCATGTCTAACATCAAGGCCCAAGGAAATATACTCTTCCTCCTGTGTTGATTACATAGAGCAAGTTGTAGTTAAATATTTCCTGTACAGGGAGGGAATGAACAACTTAGAACAACAGAGATTTGCTAGCCATGTTTATTTTTCATAGTCCTAATGGGGCTTCTGCTAAATGATCTCCTGAAATCAGAGTCCATGTTTGTTATTCAACATGAATGGTCAGGTCTTTGGGCATAAATATTAGTAGCCACAAAGACTTTGACTTTTCAATTTCCAATGAGTGATTGATCTGGAACTGCTACTCAGATCTTGTAGATATTACTTAGTTACTTTGGTGTTGCTGTGAAGAGACACTATGACAATGACAACTTCTAAAAGAAATAACTTAACTTGGGGGCTTACAGTTCTGTGACCCTCAAGGCAGGAAGGAGGGCAGCAAGCATGGCAGCAGGCAGGAAGGCAGGCAAGCATGGTGCTGTAGCTGTAACTAAGAGCTTACCTCTAATCCACAAGCATGAGGCAGAAAGCTAAAGCTTAAATTCTTGTTCATAGGCATAGGGGAGAGAGGGAGAGATAACAGGGAATGGAGTTGGCTTGTGAAAATTCAATGCCACGCTTCCTCTGACCAGGCCACACCTCCTTATCCTTTTCAAATAGTTCTACTAAGTGCTGACCGAGCATTCAAACATATGTACCTATGGAGGAAATTATCATTTAAACCACTAGAAGATATGAACAGAAAGAATGGAAACTAGGGAGAAATAAGTCCTCTCTTTGATCCACTTCTTCTTCCTGATAGCAGTTTGGAGTAAAAGTTCAACTTCAAATTTTTCCTTTGGTTCTTAGATGGTTAGGTAATGCTCTCCTTCACATTGGGTTCATAGGGCATGTGAACTCTGCCCTACATTAAGAAATGTAAATATTATGCTTACATCTCTTTATTAAGTATAATACTTAATATATTTCTGAGAGTCTCAGAAACCTAAGAAACCAAAAAGTTTTGGCTTATAATTTAGATCATGTTTGGAAAACTGATCAACTATTCTAGAATTCTATTTGAAGACAAGGGATTAGGCAAATGCGGTCTTTCTTTAATGTCACTGTATTCAGAAATCATTTCATATGACTTTTCTTGAGTCAATCATTTTTGCATTTCTTTTGTGCAGTGTGAGGATTGAACCTATAGTCTTACACATGCTGACCCAGTGTTTCCACACAAACTACATGTTCAGGGCTACAAGTTGTGAAGTTAGTTTCTTTCCTTCATTAAATATCAAGAATATTTCTTAGGCATTTCCTGAAGAAGCAGAAGACTTTTTAGTCCATCAGTTTACAACTGAAAGTAGCAATACTTATTTAATAAATTTTAAACATGAGCTTTTCAAATGGTGTAAAACATCTAAAATATCACCTCACCAGAAAGGTGTTGCTTCCCACAGCAGCTGAGTTCTCCTGTTTATGTCTGGGTTAATGAAGTTGCTCCACTAGATTAGCCAGGAACCAAAATGAGTCAGCCAAGACTTTTGGTCCAAGCCCTGACTAATAATAGACTCTGGAATCACCACCAGCATGTGTCTTTCAGATTTCTCAGTAGTAGACTGAGGGACAGGCAGAGGGTAAAAGTATGGTTGGCTTTAGCTGTTTCTGTTCAGGGTTCTCCATGCTGAAGAATCTCTTTGAGATTGAGAACAGAATTCTGTTTTCTAAGGCTATGCTATTCTAGACCCAACAACTTAGCCTGAAGAAACACTGAGATGTCAGGGCCCAGCTGTCAATTCTGTCAGCAGACTCAGGTTTCTCTGCCTCTGAAATGGGTCAGAGACAGAGGATGAATAGCAGTTCCATCTCCTGCCTCTTGATACACATTAGTCTACAGGTGTGAGAATAGCTTGCAGGTTTATCCTTTTCCTCTTGGGGAAAAACTGAAATAAGGAAAGTCACCCAATTGATTTATCTGAGGTAAAACCATTCCAAACTAGTGTATCAGTGTATTATTCTATACAAAGAACTTTGAGGCACAATTTAGGAGATTACTTATCAGCAGCTGCTTATTTCAAACCATAAATTCCATATATTTGATATACATATTTATGTATACATATACACACACACACACACACACACACACACACACACACACACCTCACTTCATGGCCTATTTATTGATGTATGAATCTTCAAGAATGTGAAAGGCCCACTTCCAGTTTCCAGAGTTTTTCAAACTCATTGGTATGGACATGCTAGAAGTACTAGCACTGTTAGGGATAAGCTGAGATTCAGTGATGAATGCTGCTCTCCTATTTTTACACATAATATCACAGGAGACCTAAAGACCGTGTCTCATATAGAACTTCAAAGTCAGAACCATCTCACACCTTCTTAAAATTACAAATCTCCATTTTCACTACTGCAGATTACCAGGTATCACCAGACAGCCTGGTTGTAAGCCAGTATGGCTTCCATATTTATAGTGTTCAGGGGGATTAGAACATAAGTCCCTGTGTGTGTTCTTCATGTAGCAGCTCCTAGCACTCACATTCTGCTGCCTTGTTAACACAATTGCTTGGCAGCCCATGGCCAGATGTTTTTGTTTCTCCCCACTAAACTTAAATAAAGCTGCTCAACAAACTGCCTCAAGTCTTATATGCTTGCCACTCTCCTATTAAAGAGGTTGGCCGTACTCATTAGGGGAAAAGTCCAGAGAGATAGCACACAGAATAGGCATGACACATCCTGACACATATCAGATGCTGCCAAGTGTTCTTGTCTACTTTTACAGCACTGCCAAGGTGCCCAACTATGACTTCCTAAATATCTATTGTCTCATGAAACCCCTTAACTTCCCTTACTTCCCTTTATTACTG